CCTGCCCAGGGCAGGAAGGGTTGGAACTAGATGATCTTTAAGGTCCCTTCCAACCCAAACCAGTCTATGATTCTATGAAGACAGATATTGAGGTGCTGGAGTGTGTCCTAAGAAGGGCAATGAAGCTGGTGAAGGGTTTGGAGCACAAGTCTGATGAGGAGCAGCTCAGGGAACTGGGGTTGTTTAGTCTGGCGAAAAGGAGGCTCATGGGAGACCTTATTGCTCTCTACAACTACCTGAAAGGAGGGTGTAGCCAGGTGGGTGTTGGTCTCTTCTCCTAAGTAACAACTGACAGGACAAGAGGAAATGGCCTCAAGTTGTGTCTGGGCAGATTTAGATTGGATATTAGGAAAAATTTCTTTGCTGAAAGGGTTGTAAAGCATTGGAACAGGCTGCCCATGGAAGTGGTGGAGTCACCATCCCTGGAGGTATTTAAGAGACATGTAGATGTGGCACTGAGGGTCATGGTTTAGTGGTGGACTTGGCAGTGCTAGGTTAACAGTTGGACTTGATAATCCTAAAGGTCTCTTCCAACCTAAACAATTCTATGAATCTGTGATTCTATGAAAAGAGCCTGGTTTTGTTCTCTTTGCACCCTCCCTTCAGGTATCACTCTACATTAATATGAACCCCCCTTGCCTTCTCTTCTCCAGGCTAAATAGTCCTAGCTCTCTCAGCCTTTCCTTAGATGTGAGATGCTCCAGTCCCTTAATCATCTTCGTGACTTTTTGTTAGACTCTCTCCAGTAGCTATATGTCTCTCTTGTACTGGGGAGCCCAGAACTCGACACACAGCAGGTGTGGCCTCACCAGTCCTGAGGGGGTGCTAGTTTTAGAGCACACAGACAGTAACCCTTTTCCTGTTACCCTGTCTTCCTCCCTCCCCAGCATTGTGCATCCCCTTAGGAGTTGCCTGGTCTGATAAACAGCTGTAAACTGAGAGAGGAAGGAGGGAAGTGAACTCAGCAGCAAAGGCACCCCTCAACCCTCACAGTACCACATACTAACCTCCACTTATTTTGCATCTAAAAACTAAAGAGTTATGGAAGGGATACCCCTACTGGATCCTGGGAAACTTCAGTGGCCTCAGAGAGCCAGAATAAAGATACTGAATTATCTTGGAGATACTCAAAAGTTGTCTAGACATGATCCTGGACAGCCTGCTCTAGGTGGCCCTGCTTTAACAGGATGTTTGGACCAGATGACCTCCAGAGGTCCCTTTCAGCCTCAACCATCTGCGATCCTGGGATTCTGTAAAAGGAGGATAATGGTGCCCCAGATCCTTGTCTCATGTATGTGCATCATAGCAGCCAAAAGATAGAAGCTAATTTGCAGTGTGCCAGAGCTATCTGTCCTGCAGGAAATTATGAGGGTAATGTGTAATGGAGTGCAAAAGACTCGGTGAGATAACTTGGACCAATCAGCCAGCTCTGGAATGGGTACCATATACATGAGGATAGGACCTCTGTGCTTATTCTTAGATGTACACCCAGGTTTCCATGGCAAGAGAACAACATCCCAGATAAGAGCCTACAGTGAAGAAACACCTTGTAGTGCAAATAATTTAAGAAGTTGCCAGTAAAATTGGCCACAGTAAGATGCACCTTTAGAGCACAGGACTGTTTTCCAGAAGGGTCAAACGTTACTGAATAACGAACGATGAAGTGCAGTAACAAGATAGAAATCCATGCTTTATCTGTCAGGTTCAGAATATTGTTTTTTTTGGTCTTGTTGTCTGTGTGGCACAGGTTGACACTAGTAAGTATAGCTAAATACTTCCTGAATTTGAGAAATCATTTAGAAGACATGTTTTGTGACATTTGTGAGATACCAAGTGAAGGTGATGGAATAATGGTCATGCCCTATATAGTGATTTTAAATGTTCATCATCTTTATATATCAAGTTATTAAAAGATAATACATCATAGGAAAGTATATCTAGTAATTAGATGCAATTTTTGTGATTTGAATTAGGCAGGGAATTGTTGA